TTTTTTTTTCTCACACGCAATCCCTTTTCTGTCGAGTTTTTGTCAAGCAGTTATTTTTTTTTTTTTTTTTAGTTTTTGTTGTTTTTTTCTTTAGGATTGTTTAAGTGTTCTCATTTCTTGGCGTTTTGTCCTTTGTTGTTTTTTTTTAAAGGTTGGTGTAATATTTTTTTAAGGTTAGGTTAATAATCATTTTTAGGATTGTGCATAGGGGTCATCCATAAATGTCGTCACGAGTTTGACCCTCCCCTCTCCCATATTTCATATCTTCACAAAAAGCAAGACCCTCCCCCCCCCCAACTAAATTGACGTCACATTTCAACCTATCCTCTTCCCCTTTCTTCAAAATTTCAGTTTATTTTAATCATCGATTTCCTTCCAAAATATTGACTGGTCAACATTGAATATATTAATTATATTTTATTAAAATTTTCTTAGACAGTTTTCTAACATGATCTTCAATAGATTTAGAGATCATGTTAACGGTTACCAAACGGGCAGTCACGGTCTACTGCTAGTGAAGATTCCAAATATAGCAGGGCAAAATGCATAAATTAATGCAGTTGTATTTTTGTTGAAATTAATTTGCTAGTTACTTCCCATTTATACATTTAAAATGACTAAGGGATACAAACCGGAACTTTGTTTTAAAAAGTTGATAAAATACAAATATGTTAAATAGTAACATAATAAAATAAGCAAATCATTGTTAGTTATGTCATCACATAAGAATAATCAAAACCGTTTATGGCAGTTTGACATTACTGATAGTTCAGAAAATTAAGATTTATTATTGCACTAGTTTAAAATAAATAACTAATTGGTGTTTTAAATAATTAATTGCTTGACTTTTAAAGCGGCTATTTAAACAATAATTGCCACAGGATATCGTTGATTATCAAAATATTTTAATTTCGTTAAAAGTATAGAAGGTATACAAACAATCATATGGATATTGTTATGGTTTAATTAAAATTTGAGACTTTAAAGACCAGTTAGGGAACAGGTTAAAACTGCGTTAAGCCGAGAACTGGATTAATGAATAATTTGTTTGACTACCAGGAGTGGACTCATGAAAAACTGTAAATAAAACCTCTGTTCGTGTTATTACTTTTGTTTTCTGTAATAACTAAAAATAAAATGTAAACATGTAATAAAAGTAGTAAAATTAAAAAAAAAAAAAAAAAGTTAAAAAAAAAAAAATTTAATTTCGTTTATTAACTAAAAAAAAAAAAAATTACCAAATATGTGCGAATGTGACTACTATAGCCTACGACCTATCACATTCAAAAGATAACTGTCAGTAAAGAAGAAACATCCAATCATTAATAAACAACCAATCATTTGCTCATCATTTGCTCCCGTGCACTACTGATTAAAAAAAAATATCATTATATATCTTTGGTCTAGTATGGGCTCCATACTCTAAATCTTTAAAGAGGTCCCAATGGGTCCGTGGCACCTACTGTTTGTAAACCGATCGAATGTGTATTTAAAATGTATGGTTTATATAGTCAGTAATCTGCTCCATTGTGTACTTAAAATGTATTGTCTATGTAGTCATTTATCTGCTCCATTGTGTACTTAAAATGTATTGTTTATGTAGTCAGTTATCTGCTCCATTGTGTACTTAAAATGTATTGTCTATGTAGTCATTTATCTGCTCCATTGTGTACTTAAAATGTATTGTTTATGTAGTCATTTATCTGCTCCATTGTGTACTTAAAATGTATTGTTTATGTAGTCAGTTATCTGCCGCTGGTTTTGTGGTCCCCTAAGTCCACCATCTATAGACATTTTCATACTTCTTTAGCAGACCAGACTTTACCCACTTTTGACTGACTTTACCCAGTTTTGACAGACTTTACCCCGTTTTAACAGACTTTACCCAGTTTTGACAGACTTTACCCAGCTTTGACAGACTTTACCCAGTTTTGACAGACTTTATCCACTTTTTATAGACTTTACCCAGTTTTAAATGACTTTATTCACATCAAGCAGACTTTACCCATCTCAGACAACTCTGGGGTATAACGTAACCAACTGTTACACTCTACATTCACATTATGACACAACAAAACCTCATCATAAAACTAATTAATTACCTCTCAAGACCTTCACCAACATGACCTCAGAATTAACCCACTTGCCTCACCACTTTTACGTCATTTCGTCTGACCTTGGTTACCAAATTCCACGACCTTGAAACCTAAGACGTGTGTTGTTTCCTTGAGGAAAACCTCGGGTCATCCATGTGGTGACACCAGCGTTAAGACAACGACACACAAACAGCAACGACACAATCGGCTATAAATGTACTCGATGATCAGGGGTTCTCAAGACCTGACAGATTAGGTCCCGTGTTACCAACGCGTAATTATATTAGTTTTACGAGTTAAGAAAAAGGTTTAAAAAACAATTAAGGATAGTGACATTTGTATTAGTAAAATTTTTAAAAAAATTTGACTATTTTAGTAAAGTTGATGACTGACGTGGTTTTTTACTTTCTCGTATATACGAAGTATAGAGAAAGTCTTGTAATCGTGCAAAAAAAAAAAATCGAGATTTTTGCAAATCTCGACGTTTTGCATCTCACTGATACGGAAAAACATAATTTTGCAATCTTGTCCGTATGTCTGTGTGTCTGTGTGTGTGTCTGTGTGTGTGTGTGTCCGTGTGTAAACACGATAACTTGAGTACCGTTACAGCTAGGTTGATGAAATTTCATATATAAGTATTTTATCAAAATCGTAGATCCGTATCAACTTTTGAGCGATTTCTGACAACCGGAAGTGGTACTTTTTCTACTTTGAATTTTTCAAAAGCCTATAACTTGAGTACTATTTCAGATAGATAAATGAAATTTCACATGTAAGTAAAAGATCTAATTCTCTACCTTCTGTTAAATTTTGAGTAATTTCCGTTGACCGGAAGTAGTAATTTACGCTACTTCCGATTTCTCAAAAAACTAATGTAAATTTTTAAAGTAATAATAATATTGCGCACTATTATGCGCTTTTTTATTTCGCGTTCACTTGGTGTGCAATTAATTTGTCTACGAGATTTTATTCTATTTTTAAAACTTTAAGTATTTAAAATGGATTAAAAATCATGTATATAGCCCGAGTTCCCATCCCCTGTTATTTTATATAAGAATATTCGAGAAAGTTTAGGGGAGATCACTCCCGGTTTATTTTTTTTTAAATACAATTTTATTTTATTTAGTTAGATGTTTATTTCAATATGATTACAAAATGCATAAACATATTTATATCTTGTAGCTTTTTAACCCGAAAGCGTAATGATTATAGTTTTTAATCATAGTCTAGCCTGTTTTCATGCGCACAATGTTTTACGTCCACCACCCCCACCCCCATTCAACTCGTCCTTTCTTTTGTATGTTGCATCAGCTGATGCAACCAGCACGTGCGCTAATCCCTGACCTGATTACAACATCTAAAATCGATTATGTACAAACAAAATAATCGATACCCCTGGTATAGCAAGTAACGTACATTTTTTTTAATAGTTTAAAATCAAAACAGACCCTTTTTAGTGTATAGATATGCAATTTACAATATTATGTCAGAAATTGTTGTTCTTTTAAAAATGTTGTTGATATAAAACACATATTACGTTTTATTAAATTGAAGTGTGTTGTTACAAGTGTATTAATTACCCATGTATATCTTACATACATAAATAAATATGTAAGAACAATATGTAACCAGGTGTACATTACACGTAATTTTCTCGAGGACATACCAGCAGGTGATTTGAAACGTGGCCCGGGTTAATTAAAATTAGATAGATCAATTACCTTAGTGTGTACGGTCCTCCCCTCCCCCCCCCCCCCCCCCGTGTTTACATATGTCGCGTAACGTCACAGTAAGAAGCAATCGATCCGCCGTGTAGCGATTCGATTGCTTTGTACTGGCACACCGCAAGGTGTGTCGTGGTGTGTGGGATTATGTAATGGCACGTGTGTTCAGCTGTCTGAGGGTTACGTAAGCCTGAACAGCCTGGTGCACAGGTAATGTGAAGAACACCTGACGAATGGGGGGGGGGGGGCGTCCATTTTGTTTGTTATGTTTATGTATCATCTTCTATTTAATAGTTGCATTATAAGATATATGAGTATGTTACGCACAGTTGAGGATCGTAGAAAAAAAAATGCTGTTGTATACTGTTTCTAAACTTGTCCCATTACTATCAACGTGCAAAACAAAGTAATAGTAGAGACATATTTATCCCGGTCTAGTTGTTGTTGAATTTAAATCAGTTTTGGTGAAACAGACTGTTTGTTTTTCCCCGAGATCATTCTACAAATATGTAGCCCAATTAAACAGCACTGATGTTAGCCCCATTGCGCAATATACACGAGGGCTATTGGCTGTGCTCTTTCTGCCCTGTCTAGCATAAGTTCTGAATAAATTCTACTTTGCCCATTAAATGAATTGCCCATCCCTCTTTCTGCTCTCTGTATTTCTATTGCCCATCTATCTTTATGTCTTTTGCCTATGTACGTGTATATTTTTGCTTATCTACGATTCTATTTCCAAATTATCATTATGTCTTCTTCCCATCTCCCAATATGTATTTTGTCTATCTGTTGTCTACTTTCCATCTACCATAATGTCTACTTCCTACCTACCCCTCCACCCTATCTACCCCACCACCCTACCCCCACCACCCCCACCACCCTCCCTACCCCGCCACCCTACCCACCCTATCCCACCACTCCACCCTACCTACCCCTGCACCCTACCTACCCCACCACCCTACCCCACCACTCCACCCTACCTACCCCTGCACCCTACCTACCCCACCACCCTACCCACCACTCCACCCTACCTACCCCTCCACCCTACCTACCCCACCACTCTACCCACCACTCCACCCTACCTACCCCTCAGCCCTACCTACCATCTTACATACCTTACCATACAACCACCAACTTTGCCACAATGCCTCACTAACGTATCTAAATCTTTGTGTTACAGAGCAATGAAGCGGTAACAAAGAGTCAAATGTCTTCAGTCAGATCTGTAAGTCACCTTGTTGTGTCAGTACGTTCGTGTTGGGAGGGGGGTGGAGTGGGGTGCATATCATTTGGGAGAACATGGGTCAACATCTAAGAGGTAGAGAATCATGCAACATATAATGTTGGTGTTTTCTTGACCATTGGTTATTCGATGTTGGATGGGGGGGGGGGGGTGTCTTAGGAGCACACTATATTGTTGTATGCTAGTAAAGCATAATAGTTGTATACTGGTTTTTCCTTTAATTTATTGTTATACTTTAATGATGGATTTAATTTATTGTTGTATGTAAGTGACGCCCCTCACTAAAAAAAGGGAAATAAATACAAGAAGTTTCATGCGCCTTTTAGACACGTGACCTCAGTGGCGTAACGAGGTCGGGTGTCTGCGTGACCTTGCCCTTTATTTACACCTCTGTTCTATTGAATGCTCTACTAGAAAAAAAATCGAGACACTTTTTTTTATGCAAACATTTATTGCATTCTGTAGAATGCTGTTTTTTTCACTTTACCGGTCACGCGTTTATTCTCCAGAAGGGGGTAACTACCTTTGTGGGTTAATTAACACGTTGGTGATTAATTAGGTGGTGCTGAGGGAGGGGGTAATGTAGTAGACCAGTGGTTCTTAACCTGGGTTCGATCGAACCCTGAAGGGTTCGGTGAGGCAGTCTCATGGGTTAGGCGGAGGTCAAGACATACACCTGTATTATATGATTCTTCATCGGAATTTGAGATGTCGATAGAAGAATAGAAGGGTTCGATGAATACGCATATGAAACTGGTGGGTTTCTATACCACATAAAGGTTAAGAACCACTGTCCTAAACCCATAGTCGGTGAACTAGTTCCTCTCTCTCTCTCTCCCTACGTTAAATTCAATTGAACTGTATATATTACCTGTATTGTGCACGTGTACATCCCAGCCATCCCATAATTCCCAGGTGGGCTGTATACACACCTGCACCGAACACGTGTGGGGTCTAAGCCGGCAGGCAATTAATTAGCTAATGAATTAGAAATATCCCCTGTCGTTAATCCTCATTTGCATATCAGTAGCCCCATCTTCTAACCGTGTTTGAAGAAAAATAGTTTTTCCACATTATTTTTGTTGACAATTTTACTAGCCTGGTTGTTTGTGTGACAGAGGGTGGTGGGGGAGGGGGGAGATGTTCCTTGTTATCATTTCTATGTACATACTTCCTGCATTGCCTTAAACAGAATTGTTCTTGAAAGGGTTCTTGAATCATTGGTCTTCGAAAGATTGCCATGGAAGGAGTTATTGTTTCTTGACCAGATCAGTGTAGCCCATGTATACGAAAATATATTTGTAAAATATATGAGACTAGAATATTGGTTGAGATAATCTGATTGGAAAAATAAGTTACGTGACCTATCGGGAGGTTTATTCGTATAGTCGAGTGTGGGTAAGCAAGCGTTAGTGCACATCGACTTTACACATTGACTTTGCACATTTCGGTATCTGTGTAATTGTAATTATGGCTGAGAGGGAGTGAGTGTGAGGGGGGGGGGGGGGGGAGAGAGAATGGGGATTTTTTTTTGCGAGGAGTTAGGGAGAAGAATGAATGGGAATTATTTATTTAGTGACCCTTTATATACAGGGGGAAGGTAAACCAGTGTTGGGAAAATTCCTGGGTCCGTAATGGACATACTCTTGGGTGAGGGGTGGGTCAATTGCTGGGTCAGGGGGGTGGGTCAATTGCTGGGTCAGGGGGGTGGGTCAATTGCTGCGTCAGGGGGTGGGTCAATTGCTGGGTCAGGTGGTGGGTCTGGGGGCGAGTCAAATACTGTCATGGGGTGGGTCACTGTCCCTTTCTCCCAGCAGATAGGATATGAAGCCCAGAGGCGTAGCGACCCTTCCCGGCGCCCGGGGACAAACTTTCGATTTGCACCCCCCCCCCCTCAGACTTTAATTTTTTTTCAACCCATTTTGACGCCCCCCCCCCCCCTTTCTAAAGTCTGCGCACGGGGACATATGCCCCCCCCCCCCTCGCTACGCCTCTGATGAAGCCTGATCTTCTTCGTTATTGACTTCGATGAATTATCTGTTGTTTTTTTCTCAATTAACGACTTATTTGTCGACGCCTGTTCTAATTTTTTAAGTATTTTATTTTTGCATTATCTATAACGTCAGACTGTCATGTTTATTTAACAGGCTGGTCTGTCATCCACCACACAGTCCAGCATGTCATCCACCATGCGAGACATGTTAAACAAGTAAGTTTTTTTTTAATTGCTTTCTCAACTCCATTTTCGCAATCCTCCTTACATTTCGTATTCTCGTTCACAAAATATGACACGGGTGACTAAATGGAATCTAAACTAATAGTTTTACACCGTGTAGTGTAATTTTTTTTTTATGTTAGTTTATTTATTTTTTTACTTTAAAGATAAATAGAATTTGGAATTACATATGACTATATATATATATATATATATATATATATATATATATATATATATATATATATATATATATATATATATATATATATATATATATATATATATATATATATATTAGTCATATGTAATTCCAAATTCTATCGTGTGTTTGTTTGTTTGTTCGTTCGTTTGTACGCTAGCAAGGTGCGGATTACACTTAAGCGGGTTTTTTTTATTGAGAATAATAGGAGAGCACAGGGCTGAAAAGTTGTTTTATTTCTGTAAAGAGGGGGAAGGGGGGGGGGGGCGCTATGCTTAAATCTTAAAAGGTATAAATTAGAAAGATTAAAAGCTTTATCAATAAGAAAACTTGACATTTCTACCCTATACATTTGGGCCCACGGCTGGAGCCCGGTCAGCCCACCTGTTAATCCGCCACTTATCATGTATGTCTGTCTGTATATTTATTTATTTTGTTATATAGCATACACACGACAACCATAATTTGATTTATGCATAGCAATTAATTAATCTTTTTTTTTAAAATAACAGTAGCTAACACTAATACTTATTATTTTCACATATAATTTATTTTTTTAATTGTTATAAGCTTTACTTTCCTTTTTTTTACTGTTATATAACTGTTGCAGCCATTATTTTCCCTGTTGTGACAATTACCTCCCCTTGTTGTGTCAGTTACCTCCCCTGTTGTGTCAGTTACCTCCCTTGTTGTGCCAGTTACCTCCCCTGTTGTGTCAGTTACCTCCCCTGTTGTGTCAGTTACCTCCCTTGTTGTGTCAGTTACCTCCCTTGTTGTGTCAGTTACCTCCCTTGTTGTGTCAGTTACCTCCCCTGTTGTCCCAGTTACCTCCCTTGTTGTCCCAGTTACCTCCCCTGTTATATCAGTTACCTCCCCTGTTGTGTCAGTTACCTCCCTTGTTGTGTCAGTTACCTCCCTTGTTGTGCCAGTTACCTCCCTTGTTGTGTCAGTTACCTCCCTTGTTGTGCCAGTTACCTCCCTTGTTGTGCCAGTTACCTCCCTTGTTGTGTCAGTTACCTCCCTTGTTGTGTCAGTTACCTCCTCTGTTATATCAGTTACCTCCCTTGTTGTGTCAGTTACCTCCCTTGTTGTGTCAGTTACCTCCCTTGTTGTGCCAGTTACCTCCCCTGTTATATCAGTTACCTCCCCTGTTGTGTCAGTTACCTCCCTTGTTGTGTCAGTTACCTCCCTTGTTGTGCCAGTTACCTCCCTTGTTGTCCCAGTTACCTCCTCTGTTATATCAGTTACCTCCCTTGTTGTGCCAGTTACCTCCCTTGTTGTGTCAGTTACCTCCCTTGTTGTGCCAGTTACCTCCCTTGTTGTCCCAGTTACCTCCTCTGTTATATCAGTTACCTCCCTTGTTGTGCCAGTTACCTCCCTTGTTGTGCCAGTTACCTCCCTTGTTGTGTCAGTTACCTCCCTTGTTGTGCCAGTTACCTCCCTTGTTGTCCCAGTTACCTCCTCTGTTATATCAGTTACCTCCCTTGTTGTGCCAGTTACCTCCCTTGTTGTGTCAGTTACCTCCCTTGTTGTGCCAGTTACCTCCCTTGTTGTCCCAGTTACCTCCTCTGTTATATCAGTTACCTCCCTTGTTGTGCCAGTTACCTCCCTTGTTGTGCCAGTTACCTCCCTTGTTGTGTCAGTTACCTCCCTTGTTGTGCCAGTTACCTCCCTTGTTGTCCCAGTTACCTCCTCTGTTATATCAGTTACCTCCCTTGTTGTGTCAGTTACCTCCCTTGTTGTGCCAGTTACCTCCCCTGTTGTGTCAGTTACCTCCCCTGTTGTGTCAGTTACCTCCCTTGTTGTGTCAGTTACCTCCCTTGTTGTGTCAGTTACCTCCCTTGTTGTGTCAGTTACCTCCCCTGTTGTCCCAGTTACCTCCCTTGTTGTCCCAGTTACCTCCCCTGTTATATCAGTTACCTCCCCTGTTGTGTCAGTTACCTCCCTTGTTGTGTCAGTTACCTCCCTTGTTGTGCCAGTTACCTCCCTTGTTGTGTCAGTTACCTCCCTTGTTGTGCCAGTTACCTCCCTTGTTGTGCCAGTTACCTCCCTTGTTGTGTCAGTTACCTCCCTTGTTGTGTCAGTTACCTCCTCTGTTATATCAGTTACCTCCCTTGTTGTGTCAGTTACCTCCCTTGTTGTGTCAGTTACCTCCCTTGTTGTGCCAGTTACCTCCCCTGTTATATCAGTTACCTCCCCTGTTGTGTCAGTTACCTCCCTTGTTGTGTCAGTTACCTCCCTTGTTGTGCCAGTTACCTCCCTTGTTGTCCCAGTTACCTCCTCTGTTATATCAGTTACCTCCCTTGTTGTGCCAGTTACCTCCCTTGTTGTGTCAGTTACCTCCCTTGTTGTGCCAGTTACCTCCCTTGTTGTCCCAGTTACCTCCTCTGTTATATCAGTTACCTCCCTTGTTGTGCCAGTTACCTCCCTTGTTGTGCCAGTTACCTCCCTTGTTGTGTCAGTTACCTCCCTTGTTGTGCCAGTTACCTCCCTTGTTGTCCCAGTTACCTCCTCTGTTATATCAGTTACCTCCCTTGTTGTGCCAGTTACCTCCCTTGTTGTGTCAGTTACCTCCCTTGTTGTGCCAGTTACCTCCCTTGTTGTCCCAGTTACCTCCTCTGTTATATCAGTTACCTCCCTTGTTGTGCCAGTTACCTCCCTTGTTGTGTCAGTTACCTCCCTTGTTGTGCCAGTTACCTCCCTTGTTGTCCCAGTTACCTCCTCTGTTATATCAGTTACCTCCCTTGTTGTGTCAGTTACCTCCCTTGTTGTGCCAGTTACCTCCCTTGTTGTCCCAGTTACCTCCTCTGTTATATCAGTTACCTCCCTTGTTGTGCCAGTTACCTCCCTTGTTGTGCCAGTTACCTCCCTTGTTGTGTCAGTTACCTCCCTTGTTGTGTCAGTTACCTCCCTTGTTGTGCCAGTTACCTCCCTTGTTGTGTCAGTTACCTCCCTTGTTGTGCCAGTTACCTCCCTTGTTGTGTCAATTACGTCCCTTGCTGTGTCAGTTACCTCCCTTATTGTAACAGTGACTCCCCTTGTTGTAACAGTGACTTTCCTTGTAACAGTGACCCCTTGTTTTTCCAGGAGCCACGACCAGTGCCAGATCGAGGGCAGCTTGACCTTGGATTTGGTTTACATCACGGAACGGATTATATGTGAGTACTGTCTCCTACACACTCGCACCGCCGTGTCACGAGAGCAGATGTGTTAACACGTCTGTGTTAAATGCCACGCCCCCTTCCGCGTGTTCTTAAATCATGAACAGAAGGCCAACTCTATATAAACTAACTGATCGACGGAATATACAAATGAAGTCACGAGTTTATTTCACTGACCTCGGCGTATGCGTATTAGATGTAAAGAGTAATAGTTTGATGCCCAGCCGTCTCTACTTTTTCCTAACTGCACTCAAGTGCACATCATGACCGGGTGGACTCCGTCACGTCATACGGATTCAATTATGGGATCCGAACTCGAGACTTCGGGCTATCAGTCATACGATATTCACACTAATGCTTAAAAATCTAAGATGGTACACTCTCTCATTCGTTTAATGGCACATCCTAAAAAATTTATTTCTTTTTTTTTTTTTTTTTTTTTTTTTTGATATTTGTATATTTTATTGTACAGTAACATAGAAAATTCACCTAAAGTCTGACACTGACTTTAGTCATGAAAAAGTATGGGGGGAAAAATGTATGCATTTATAAGCCCTGTTAAATTAAATATTTTAAACAAGAAAGATTTTCACAATAATTTCTAGGATGGTCGTTCCTGTGAAATTTGACAGGATATTATTAGTAGGTACAAAAATTTAACATTTAACTTAATACTTGAAGATGAATATTACTAAGTATACTTATACTTGACAGAGAAGTTTATTGTTAAATAAAATGTTGTTTTGGCAATTTCTCTCATCAATAACTTTTGACAGGACCGTAACCCTAAAATATGAACAGTAAAATCAAAATTAAAACGCTGTGGCTCTGTTTAAGAATACTCAAGAACTTATTACTTTTTAAATTATTATTATTATTGTTTAAAACGTTAAATACAATATGTTTCTCATCTACAAATGTAGAGTTTTCTTTTAAGAAAAACAGTTGCTTTGTTGAATAAAGTTGCGGCCCTATACATATTTGTAATTCCCAATATGGTTACTTCCCTTTATTTACTCATCATAGAATATGGCAGTGTTAGAAATAACGTTCAAGTTTCAATCGTGGCGTGAAACAGATGGCAAATGATTCATGTTTTTAGAATAACAATCGGCGGATACATCACCTGGCTCGTTACTCACCTTAATGACCAGTGTTAAAAAAAAATTAGCAATTAGCTGAGTGGTTGCTTTCTGCATGCGAGTGTGTTCATTTTAAATTAAAATTTATGGCGAATTCTGTCTAGACTGCTACATATTATAATATAAGGCGCTCTTTAAAATGTTGGGGTGTGTTATTATGTAGAACCTACTTTTTTGTATAGGTTTAAAACAAATCAACGAAATTTGGTATTTCATTGTTGAATTGCAGATTAAATTGAACCGAAAATCTTGTTGAAGTTATAGGCTAATTAGTATTTTGCAAGCTTAATAATAGAAAATTAATTCCGTTATAGTTCCAGTTAGGGCGAACGATAAATGTCCGCCTATTCTAAAGGTCACGTGCACTCAAATTACCAATTAGGCAACTCGCCGGCCCCCATTGAAAAACATGCAAACTAATGTGCTGCACATGCGCACTGGCTAAATATAGCTAACACGTTTATGTTGTTAAAGAAAGTAGGTCGTAACGTCACACTCTCATTTTGCTTATTTTTTCGGTCGAGGGTGTATAGAGGGTGTGTAGATGATGTGTAGTAATTTAATGTGTGTAAATAATGTGCATTAATTGGGTGTAAGCGTGTGTACAGGTTGTGTAGTTGGTGTGTAGATGGGCTGTATTAATTCGGTGCTTGTTTTGTTGTGTAACTATGTGTATGTAGTGTGTAGTTGTGTTTGTAAATGTGTGTACGTTGTGTGTAAGTGTGTGTAGGTAGTTATTGTGTGTACGTAGTGTGTAAAGAAGTGTGTACAAACTTGTGTGTATGTAATGTGTACGTAGTTAATGTGTGTGTGTGCGCATGGTATGGAAATGTGTATACGAGGTGTGTAAACGTGTGTGTACGTTGTGTGTGTAAACGTAGATATACACACGTGTGTGTGTTTTCGTGTGTACGTGGAGTGTAAACGTGTGTACATAGCTATACATTTGTCAACGTGGCTGTAAAGTGTGTACATAGTTATTAATGTGTATACGCGGTGTGTACACATGTGTGTACTTGGTGTGTACACATGTGTGTTCTTGGTGTGTACAAGCGTGTATGTAATGTACGTGTATGCAAGTGTTGTCTAAGTGACAGCTAACACCAGCTGCTGTACAAGATGTACTTAACTAAAATATGCAAATACCTGTCTTGGCTCTCGCCCAGGCGCCGGTAGGGCTATACAGTATCGAATCGAGTAGGACTATAGAGTATCGAATCGAGTAGGACTATAGAGTATCGTATCGAATAGGGCTACACAGTATCGTATTGAATAGGGCTATACACTATCGTATCGAGTAGGGCTATACAGTATCGTATTGAGTAGGGCTATACAGTATCGTATCGAATAGGGCGATACAGTATTGTATCAAGTAGCGCGATACAATATCGTATCGAGTAGGGCGATACAGTTTCGTATCGAGTAGGGCGATACAGTTTCGTATCGAGTAGGGCGATACAGTATCGTATCGAGTAGGGCTATACAGTATCGTATCGAGTTGTTTTCTATCAGTCGGTATCGATATTAAAGTCATGGTTTGTATACGGGGTTAGTTATGTCCATAGTTAGGGTCTGGTCCATGTCTAGTTGAGGCTAGGTTTGTTACTATGGTAGTAGCCATGGTGTCGATACTAGAGGAGATAAACCGCTTCGATACCATCAAAAGTACCTTTTCGCCACCTCAACATAAGCCTACTGAGATAAGTGAGTTTTGGATTACCAACTGAAGTTGTGTTGCAGACAGAATTAGAAACAGTTTAAAAAAAATGTTATGGTTATGTCGCAACTTGTACCCCAACGATGAACTGGTTGAAGCTTTGACAATGGCGGATAAGCTGGTGGTAGCTTAAGCTTATAGGGAAAAAAAGGGAGCTATGCACACCGCACCTCACCCATAGGCGTAGCCACCCATTTCGGCTCCCGTGGGCGAACTATCAACGTTACACCCCTCATTTGTACAGTTATTTACATTGGCAAAACAGCGCCCCCTCCCCCCCCCCCTCCTCCCCAGTCACTTTCCACCAGTCACAGTCCCTGAACGGTTTTTGCGAGGGTGTTACAACTGATGGTGAAAACAGTTAAATAAGCTCGTAAAGTCAAGTAACTGTCTCTTTACTGAACTTCAACTGTGTAAAACTGAGTAATGCATCTCATAATGAGCTTTAAAACCCCGATCGGGGTAAAATAAGTTTAAATACAGCAGTTAGACAAGTTAAGAAATTGGATTGTAAATAAAAGACTATTTTTGGCACATCCTATGGCGGTTTGTAGATTGGGGGAAAAGCACTCTTCACTTTTGAGTTCGATAAAAGACATAGACTAAGTTTTGTACAACGTATCTGATTAAGTCTAGGGCTAACCTTAAACCTAATCTTAGAGCTTGCAGTGTAGGAATTGTTTTCGCCATTTCACTAATAGTCAATCAAATAGATGAAGTAGAGTTCCCCTGACCTCTATGCTAAGCTACCTTTTCTTTCCCGACTTTAGCCAAGTACCGATCAGAGCTGAGCAGACTCAAACACGCAATACGGAATTGAGTCAATGAACTTAGTTCTGAACTCAGTAAGTGTACGCTCTATCGGAAGACCACGTCGTTTTAACATTAGTCGCTGCTGAAGAAATATCTGGTATTCGATAAAACATTCTAGTACCCAAAAAATAAAAAAAATAAAAAGCACGATTGTCTCGAAGCGACCAAATAAGTTTATCATTGTTGGCATGTCTAAACACATTTTTTTCTGGCAACTTCCCCCTTCAATCCCACCTGTACAGGATTAAAGCAAAGCCACAAGCTATGTCTGGTTAATCGCTGGCACTAAGAATGGCTTATGGGGATCAGTAATCCAAAGGTCAAGGGTGTAGAATGACCAAACCCTGAAGGACAAATGCTCACTTTAATTATATATCACTGCATGTGGTCATCATTGTTAAAACTCCTACCATCTTAATTTTAAAAATTTATTTTAATTTTTTTCTTACTTGAAACGTTAAAAAAGTAGACATTTTATATTCACATATATTTGACTTCTTTTTTTTTTTTTTCATTTTTCCCAGCTATGACCTTCCCCTCTGAAGGTCACGATACGACCTATGCGTTCAACCTGAAAGAAGTTGTGCGCATGCTCAAGACTAAGCACCAGGACAACTACTTGGTAAACATTTGTGGACTGTTGTATTTGTTTTGGGGCTTTCAAAGTCGGGTTTTTTTAAACTTGCGGTGGCCACACCATTTGACCTCTGAACCTTGACCCCTAAAGTTCTGTCAATGAAAATGTCACCTCTAGACCTCTTTAAAATGTGCAGCTCTGGTCCATTCATTGTTGCGAGTGTCTTAAGTGAACAAAACAGGAGTTGAAATTGACTTTACAAGGGTATGAGGACGTTACACTCTATAGGGTTTAAAGACGTCTCTAACACTTGGGATGAATGGAGGCAAATCGCTGGAATTACATGAATCATAAAAAAATATACATGTATGACGTCAGAAACAGTGAAATTACATGACGTCACAAGCAATAGACTTATATGACATCACATAGGGTTTAATGATGGCACTGGCACTTGAATTTACATCACAAATGTTAGGGTCGATGTATGATACCATGACAAGTATCTAACTATGAAAAGAAAGTTGGTGGTCAGTTCACTGAACAAATTACAAAAGTTTTAATCTTGACGTGGCAAAATTACAGTCTGTGTTATCAAGTTTGGTTTCCTAGTTGTTTTTGTTATTCTGTTTTGTTGTTGCTTTTCGTTTGTGAGAAATAATTTTATGTTCAGAATAAACTGACTAAATATTTATTGTAATGACAAAATATGGAGTTGTTTAATTAAATACTAATTCGTTGATGCTTTAATTGGCAGATATTAAATCTATCTGAGAAGCGCCAAGACCTAACCAAGTCAAATCCACAGGTAACCTAAACTTGAACACTAACTCGACCATGAAATTTTAAAATTTATCACAACCTTTTTAAAGGGAAACAACACCCCAAGTGATAAAGGGAAATAACTTTTCACAAAGGGCCATAAATCTTGTACAGACATTAACGTTTTTAATTTTAATTCTTGCCTCAGTTAAATAATGTTGTTTTTATTCTTAGGTCAAGGACTTCGGATGGCCAGACCACCTCGCCCCTCCCCTAGAGAGACTTTGTTCATTATGCAAGGCCATTGACTCGTGGTTGAATGCAGATCTGAGAAATGTAGTGGTGCTTCACTGTAAGGGTGGCCGCAGTCGTATTGCCAGTGTCATAGCTGCTTACATGCATTACAGCAACATCTGCGCCAGGTACGAGCTTACAGTCGCTGTGTCGATAAATAATGTCATTCATGTTGAATGATAATGTTGTGTTTGCAATACAATTGTTGACTTCCGTACAGCCTTAAATGTTACAATGTTAAATATTACACGCACACACTTTTTCTTTTAATATTACAAACACTCACTACAGCTTTAAATATTATAAACATATATTCTACAGTTTTAAATATTAAAAACATGCACAACAGTTTTTAAAATTATAAATACATGCTACATCTTTAAATATTACTAACATACTACAGCTTTTACCATTAAATGAACAATTGACAGCTTATTACATACACATACTAAACCTTTGAATATTATATGTCACCCTTAGTAATATTTATATGCACATACAACAGCTTTAAATACTATAGTTACTATCAGCTTGGTCAATTATATTTAGATCAGGAATAGCTTTTTCACACAAGGAACCGATGAAGTAGTGATTACATGGTTTTATATTTACAGCTTTAGAAGGAATTGGGGCAAATCTGATGCATATCGGGACTGAATGTTTTTTCACTGCCAGATATTCCTTAGAGCTAAATGGGCTCAACTAAGACTAGGATAGAAATGTTATGTCTAATTGTTTTTTTAACTGCAACAGTATGGTGTGTCCAGCACCATTTGGTTCTACACAATTCTAGCCTTACACAAACCTATCTAACACTGAAGTTTAACCAATGTTTAACTTGTGTATAACCAATGTTTAACCCACGTTTAACCCTCGTCTCCGCAGTGCTGACCAGGCTCTGGACAGGTTCGCGATGAAAAGGTTTTATGACGACAAACTAGGTGGCCTCCCCCTCCCTTCCCAAAGAAGGTAAATACGATATCAAACAAGGGAAACAATCCATGATTATTTTCTTTGTGATTTATTTAACACGGTTACGCCCCTTTAGTAATTTCATTCCCACAGACTTTACATTAAACAAGTTAATAAAAAGTCTAGTGACAATTTAAGCACAATTTCCTTATGTTATCCATAACAATTTTAAATCGAGATAAATCATATATTCAGCAAATTTTTGTGACCGAACGAAAGGATATTTTTGAAAACTTTCTTCGGCAATATTGTTCTAAATTATGGCAGAAATCGATTGATAAATGTTTCAAGTCGCTAAGTGGTCTGGTTGCCGAGATCAAGGCCAAAAACTACATTTTTCCGAGGTTTTTTGGCTTTTCCGGGAAATCCAGGAAGGAATTCCGGGAATTTTTTTGGCCCACAATCATCCTCGGAACTTGTTAACATATTTGCTTTTGGAACTAGTCCTCGATATTGCTTCGTTGAGGAGGAGATACGACTTAAAGCTGCGGACACACATCCATCCATCCATCCATCCATCCATCCAGAAATAACGAATTAATAATCGCAATTGTCAGTATGGAAATTGTGCTAAAAAAATAATCCGTTTTTCTTCATTTAGTTTGTTGTTGTTCGAACTTTGTTTTATTGATATTAATTTTTTTTAAATGTATTATTCACAGATATGTTCGCTATTTTTCTGGACTTTTGTCCGGAGCCATAAAGATCAACAGCAACCCCCTCTACCTACATCACATCCTGATTCATGGTGTCCCTAACTTTGACACCAAGGGCGGCTGCAGACCATTCATTAAAGTTTATCAAGGGATGCAACCCATCTTCACATCAGGGGTCTAGTAAGCTGCTTATTTTTTTTTTACTTTATAATAAATGATCCGGTTATCTAAATTAGGTGTGGTGGTTAGGCAATTAGAAATAATTAGGGACATAAGTCTAAAACAAGTGACATGTTTACTTTTCCGATGATTTTTCTGATTATGAATTTAGATCAAGACTAACTGCTTTTTAGATATATGATACTCATTCATAAGCCATTCCTGCATATGCCCAAAGCAGGCTAAGCTCATGATCATACTTCATTGCAAAACATCATTTTAGTTCAAAATCATTAAAGTACCACTACATGAGGCAAGTGAAATGGAGCTCATCTGTTTCAGAGAGCTCAGCGTATGAACGGATAGTGTGGTCAGCATTATGCCTAGCCGCATTTACTTTCCCTAATGTTAGTCAGGTACCCATCAGAGCTGGATGGACTCAGGGACTTCTAAGGGCTATATCTTAGGGCTAAAATGTTTATCTAGAATATATAAGGCTACTTATATTTATAGCTTAATATAAGTTCTGGAGTGTAGTGATGTATCAATACTAAACAAGGGCCTTAACTCTTCTCTCCCCCAGCAATGTGACAGACAACATGCAGAAGGTCTGTATCTCCATCTCCCCTGGGATCCCCCTCCGTGGGGACATCCTGATCAAGTGCTACCACAAGAAGACCAGGTCTGGTCAGCGCGAGGTCATGTGGCAGTGCCAGTTCCACACCTGTGCCATCTCTGACAACAGTGTGGTCTTCAGTAAACAAGAGCTGGATGATGCTGTATTGGGTGAGTTCGAATCCACTGGTTGATTTGGTTTGTGTTTGTTTACATGATTTGGTTTATGTTTGTTTACTAGGTTAGGTTTGCGTTTGCTTTCAAGATTAGGTTTATGTTTGCTTACAAGATTAGGTTTATGTTTGCTTACAAGATTTGTTTAGTGTTTGTTTACATGATTTGGTTTATGTTTGTTTACAAGATTTGGTTAGCGTTTGCTTACAAGATTTGTTTAGCGTTTGTTTACAAGATTTGGTTTGTGTTTGTTTACAAGATTTGGTTTATGTTTGTTTACAAGGTGTATTGAGCTGCAGCTTCCGGTATCTGGGATGTTCATGAGCTGTGAGACAGGCAGCTTTAGGTGCAATACATGCCCAGTGCACCAAGCTGTTCTACCTGCTCTCTTGTTTAATTTTGTGTGTCTAATATGTGAGAGATGTTTTGTGATCACTGTATGACACACCCCATCAGACACAGCTCCTTACACACCTCCCACATAAGACACCCCTACTCAGAAGACACCTTCCTCATAAAACACGCCTCCTTACCAGACATACCTCACTCCTAAGACACCCCTATTCATAAGAGACCCTCCTTGACAAATATAACTACCTCATAAGATACCCCTCCTTACCACATACCTCCCCACTAAGACACCCCTATTCATAAGACACCCTCCTTGATGCATATAACTACCTCATAATATACCCTTCATTACCTCATACCTCCCCACTAAGACACCCCTATTCATAAGACACCCTTCTCCAAGATTATATTATTCCTTACCACAATCTCCTCCACAATAAGACACTGTTCCTTGCCCCATATAACTCTCTCATTAGACCAATTTAAACGCTGTCAAGTAGCCTTAACTAATAACAGAACCAACATGCTTATAAGTCTGACACGGGTGTTGAAACGTAATTAAATAATAAGACAAAATCAATTTTAATATGACCACTATTATGATTTTACCACCATAGTGTAATTACATTTCACGGATACACTTGTACATTTTTCTATTTTTATTTTGATATCCCATGATGCAGTATGGCGAGCTTCCGTGTGTTGGTGCTACATGTATCTATTTTTAGAATAGTTCTAGCCAGCTTACCTGAACACTGGTGTGGGGTGGGGGTAGGGGGAGAGGGGGCGGAGCTGACGGCTAATCTAAACGATAAGTTTGCGCGCATCTCACCCGCTGTTCCATTTTTCGCCCGTGAATCACGAAGTTTTAATCTTGGTATCTTCGTAGTTACCTGCCCCTTAGTGTCTTCACTCGCTAGTTACCTGCCCAATGTGTCTTGGTAGTTAATTGCCTTTGGTGTCTTGGTTTTTAATTGCTCTAGGTGTAGTTACCTGCCCCTTAGTGTCTTCACTCGCTAGTTACCTGCCCAATGTGTCTTGGTAGTTAATTGCCTTTGGTGTCTTGGTTTTTAATTGCTCTAGGTGTATTGGTAGTTACCTGCCCCTTAGTGTCTTCACTTGCTAGTTACATTCCCTTGAGGTCTTTTTAGTTACATGCCCTTGGCGTCGGTAGTTACCTGCCCTAAATGGTATTAGTGGTTATTAGCTCTTCTTGTCTCGATAGTTAACTGCCCGATTGTGTGTCTAGAGTTACTTGCCCTTGGTGTCTTGGTGGTTACTTGCCCTTGGTGTCTTCATTATCTAATTACTCGCCCCTGTCAAGCTGCCCACAACACCGGACGTAAACAGGTGGACGCACTTAATTGTCCAAGTTCATTAAACAACGTAATTAACTCCCGTCATAGGCCTGCTCATCCAGCAGAAACCGGAAATGCCCTTTTCAGCGAGATTATCTGTAGCAGAGATTTGGACGACGGATGTAAATATTGACATATCTGTAGGTATTGACAGCAGACACTAATCGCATTGGAATATCTGATTCGATGAATACTACGGCATAGTTAATAATGATTTTAGTTAAGATTAATTGAAACTGTGCGTGTTTTCGTATTTCATAATATATGAATCCTGCATCACTCGTATAATTTATGTCTATACATTTCTATGATGTGTGTCGACATCCAAAGACAAGTATTTCAGTATTCCTCAACTGGATGCCTCAACTGGATGTGATCTAATCTAATTAAAATTGTTCTGTCTGCCGCCAATGTGCATACTTTCACTTAACTCAACTTACAAGTTTCGTTTAACAAAAAACAGAAAGTGAACAGGCAAAATTTACTTTCATGTTGTGTACACATGTATCGTCATTTCCCCAGCATCTGGCTGTTCATACATATCATTCACCACCCCAGTAACACACCACCCCAGTAACACACCACCCCAATAACACACCACCCCAGTAACACACCACCCCAGTAACACACCACCCCAGTAACACACCACCCCAGTAACACACTACGATATTAACACATTAACTCAAGAACACACCACCCTAGTAACATACCACCCCAGTAACACATCACCCCAGTAACACACCACCCTAGTAACACACCACCCCAGTAACACACCACCCTAGTAACACACCACCCCAGTAACACACCACCCTAGTAACACACCACCCCAGTAACACACCACCCTAGTAACACACCACCCCAGTAACACACTACGATATTAACACATTAACTCAAGAACACACCACCCTAGTAACACACCACCCCAGTAACACATCACCCCAGTAACTCATCACCCCATTAACACACCACCCCAGTAACACACTACGATATTAACACATTAACTCAAGAACACACCACCCCAGTAACACACCACCCCAGTAACACATCACCCCAGTAACACACTACGATATTAACACATTAACTCAAGAACACACAACCCCAGTAACACACTACCCCAGTAACACATCACCCCAGTAACACACCACCCTAGTAACACACCACCCCAGTAACACACCACCCCAGTAACACATCACCCCAGTAACACACTACGATATTAACACATTAACTCAAGAACACACCACGCCAGTAACTCATCAACTAGTTAACACATCAACCTAGTTACACACTAACCCATTACCACACCAACCCATCACCACACCAACCCAATAACCCATTGACAACCCGATGTAACAACCCAAGCACAAGCAGTATTCAGGCGCCATGTTGTGAAAATATAGGACACGTATGAAAGCACCAACCGCACAAATATATACGAGCCTATCAAAGCCTTACAACATTCACATAACCTTTTCTACAGTCAAACTATACTACGTAACATAAGGCCTAAGTCTGGGTTACGAAAAAAAAATTAGTATAGGCCTACTGGATATTTATCAGTACTTGTTAGCAAGTGAATGTTATGACTAGGATGAGGTAAAGGTAAAACTACCACCCATCTTATAGTCCCTGGAACAAAATGTCTTTATCTAGCGGTTTTAAGAAAACGTATAACATCTGAACATGCCAACAGCTAAAGTTGTTGTAGTTTGGTAGACATCTCACACCGACGTGTTAACGCGAGTAGGTTCCCCTTGCTGGTGCCTAGCTGTAAAGGTGGTTGAATCTCAGGCTAACAATCACAGCACGTGAAACAACAACCAGTGCTCACTATACCCCCCCCCCCCCCCATACACAAAATTACTCTCGGGGTTTTTCTGCTGTACCTGGCTAAAGGAACGTGTCAGGCACCGAAACAAAACTCTCAAAACCTTTTTTTTGTTGTTGTTGTTACTCACCCTGAAATCACAATAACAAATCTGTCTTGGCGATTACTCAGACATATTCGGATAGCTTGTATCGTCGTTAACAACCCTGCATTACATCTTTAAACGCGACACTAACTCAAACCGTACAAGTTGTGAAAAAAATGTCTTGCGTGTCATTGCATTGCTTTGTTTTTATTTATAACTGGTCCATGTTTAAGATCTATCCCCGTCTTAAACCTATGCTCTCAAAATTATCTAAGACCGGATTTATTTTGTTCATTAGTTGTTTTTATTTTTTTTAATTCATTTTTTTTTAAGTTAATCATCTTTGACAATTGACTTCATTAGGTTTCTCATTAAGCAATAAGGAGTGGGGGTGGTCGGTCGATAGAGTTGATGTAAGGACACTCTTAGTGTTTAAACTTTATGTGTCGTTTATACAACTGATTCATGGCTTTGAGGCATATTCAGATTTCTCGAGTACCTAGCATCAACAACGATTATTGTATTAAGACTGGGTGTTACACTTGGATTACTGTCAGCTCTACTTCTTCTGCCCTCCGAAGGGTACGTTTGTTAACTTACTAGAGTATATCTGTATATGAATGTCTTCTGAACTTGAAAAATGACTTCATATCCGGTGATAAATGACTATGTCTGTAGAGAAATAATGTATGTTGATAATGGGCATCAGGCCTATGAAAAATGTCTTTTTTATCGTAATGCGTTGTTGTGTGTCAAGTGGTCTATTGTGAAATGTGTGATTGTCTACGGAGATGGGGTTGTTGTTTTTTCATGTTTTTTTTTTCCTTTTATTGAGGACTAAAGTGAAAGACTACAGGGATATCTAAAGGTGCCCTTGTATCCTATGAGTGGATAACAAATGTGCATCGGGACCTCCCCCCCCCTCCCTAAAACCACGTGACGTACTTGTCACGTGGTCTGAGTTACCGATCTATTTTTATCCTCACCTTCAGTCTAACGCTCTCGGGTATTGGTGACGTGTGATGACGTGTGATGACGTGCGACACACGTCGCTGGGCCAATTTGTTTGTTCAGACACATCAACACCACCTCTGGACCCCCACCCCCTCCCACCATCCTCAACCCTTGCCCCCCACCCCTCCTACCTATGTCAGTCAGACGAGCGTTGGTTTAAAAAAAAGTGGTAAAATAGTTTTTTGCCGAATCGACTGTTTTGGTTGACTAGTTAGAGATTACGCGTTTTACTCTCTAGTAGGGCTTTTTTTTTCAACGAGTTCGAATACATCTGGGGCTGATGATAGATCAAGTTGTTTTTGTTTTGTTTTTTATATGCCCAATGATATCCTTAATTTACGCCCTTTATATGGCGACATATGGG